ATCTCTGCTATTGTGAGCAGCTAATCAAAAGGGAGAATTTATTCTGTGCCGACGCCGAACACCGTCTAGAGACCAATCAGAATATGCAACGTCACCCCCTGCTCGGTACCGCGGCTCAATACCGCTCGGTACCCGGCTCGATACTGCTGACGTGACGCATTCTGATTGGTCTACAGACGATAAACCGTGTTTAGCATCCTCACAAAATAATTTCTCATCAAGAGGAAAAAAAAAGGAGACAAAACCTGATCTAACACACCCATTTCATTGAGGAAAAACAGACAGCAGAAAAAGGCAATGACACAAACCCTTTCCAGTTCATAGCATTCATGACCTCTCCTATTTCGAATAGGTTTGATATCAGCAGAACTTAGTGTCGTTTCAACCACCGCAGATTAATATCGTCAAATATCACATCTAGATTGTAGCTTTCATCCAGCCATATTTGTCCTTTATTTTCCTATTCGTATCAATGAGCTGCAACCTGATGCTTTTGAAAGAATTTGCTTCCGTGGCTCACAGCCAAACTAAAGAAATGCTGCTATATTTAGACGGTATTCAACTTGTGGTGGATTGACAGAGAGGATTGCCGGCGACAAGAATGGCTCAGCACACTTATTGCCATTTCACGTGCGAAGCCTCAAGCAGCGGGCATGGAAGAAGGGAGATCATGCTTTGATCTTTCAAATTTGGTTCAGATTTCTGCTTTGTATGGGACGAATTTTTTATTGATTTTCAAAACAGAGTTTTATTTTAAGAACCAATAAAGAAGTCGTCCCATTCGAAGGTCTTCCTTTTGCAGATGCTACTTTACATGTGAAGGAGTAAGTTTATTTTATTGACTTGGGTTTTTTTGGGACGTCTGTAATTTTAAAAAGTTAATTTTCTCAGCGAGGTTTCTTGAAAGCAAGAAAGAAAGTTTAGTAAAATAATGAAAAACTTGCTTAAAGGGATTAGTAAGTTCGATTGAGCCCTTGTAAGGATCCGAACGGATCTCTCTGTCAGGTGACTGTAGACAGAACGGATCTCTCTGTCAGGTGACCTGATGCAATAATTTGCCTAAGGTGTTGTGGAGCTCAAAGGAAGGGTTGGACATGTCATGATTTGATTATACTAATATAATTTTTTCTCCCTTATATTTATGTTTAGTTATTTCACCATCTCATTGAAATTCTAGTTCTGCCATTGCCTTTAAAGAAGGCGGTTCCTATTGTAAGAAAAAGATCTTCATGTGGGACAGAGGTGCAGAAGAGACAAGTTGAGCTTGAGTTAGCTGTGATTGAGAGTTAGCCGATCTTGTGCCACGAAAAATCCTTTAAATCAATCTATTTTTAAAAATGCTCAATATAAAATTTAGATTTTGTTAGTATTTACAAAAAAAATCATCGCTGTTGCAGGCTAGAATATTCGTGGCGGTAAAATAAAAGAATCTTTCGTCCTAGCATTGTACAGATACCTAGCACAAAAACAGAAAAGTTAGAAACACCAGGGTTTTTACATGAAAAATCTTGAAAAAGGAAAAAAAAACTATGGGTCCACGCCGAGTTGAAATGATTCCACTATTATTTGAATATATTAAAAAGATTGAACCGTCATTAAACTTGAGGACGATCAACTTACAGTAGTCCAGGAAGTGAGTTACACATCATGTGAGTTTATAATAATGATGGTCATACATAAGTCTGACGGTGATAGAGCACAAGTCCGATGGTTGTCCGGTAGAAGTTCGGAGACGATTGGTGGCCGGAAGAAAGTTCAGCGACGATCGGTGGCCGAGCAGAAGTCCAGTGACGGTCAATGGATGGGTGGATGTCTAGTGACGGTCAGTTGCAGGGCAGAAGTATGGTGACATTCGATGGCCGGGCAGAAATCTGACGACAATCTGTAGCTTGGTGGTGGTCGCGAAGGAGTTTGGTGGAAAGAGAGCTCCTGTATCTCTCTTCATATATTCTATTCTTTCTCTTGCTTCCTCGTCGTTCAATGAAGAATGAGGGGTCTATTTATAATTTCATGGGAGTGGCATGGCTAGTAAATAGGGTGAATATCAATGGTATATTCGAAGTGTTTTGATGGACGCCTGATATAAATTCCCTCGATCATAGATTGTTTATCGAACAATTAAGTGTTTTAATGACATCAGAATTCAGCGAACTTGGACTCATTGGATTCGCCTTGTCGAACCGCTCGATTCAACTATAAGCATGTCACATGTTAATATCATTTAGTCATCCAAATTATGATTTAAATCAATTTAGATCAATTTGGGTTCGCATTGGATAGAATTTGGTGTTGTTGGGTTCATCTCCTTGAGATATTCAATTCGACTGTAAGTTTGCTGAAATCAGAATTAAAAAAACTTTAGATTTAATTTTGAAAGTTTCCAATTTAAATTTGCCTCAAAATTTGTGCTTAATCAAGATTTTTTTCATAATATATCAATCGCAATCACCACCGAGAGACCTTAACACAATCACCACCGCTAACCATCACTGTCTTTTATAATATTCAATAAAAAACAAAAATAAAACTTATTGAATACTAAATATATTTTTATTTCATATTTAAAATATATATAAAAAAAAGCAAAAATAAGAAGAGATCTCAAACGGCCTCTTAATTTGCAACACAACGGTCTTCATTCTCAGAACAAAGCAACCGTAACCCATTTATTTTATCCAACAGCTTAGTCCTCCCCAAGAACAAGCCAAACACACACATATGAAACAGAGAAACACAGATAAATTACAGAAATAAGCACAAGGCAACTTAAGAACCCACAAACTCCCCTATTGCACATAGATCCTCACTGATCACTTCTGCCAGGAGTTCTCTGTCCCCAGCCGCCGCCCCCGCTAAAGGAGAACGCAAACGCCCCTACTCCACTTCCACCGCCACCTCCACCGCCGACACCGCCGCCGCCGCTCCTGCTGCTCCACCCGTACGCGTACTGGCCGCCGTTCCTGCCCGCTTCTCCGGTGGTCCCCGCGGTCCCAAAGCCAAATGAGGCACCGCCGTCCGGAGCCGAACCGAAACCCCATCGGTAACCCCAGCTCCCTTCCTGGCCCGAACTGGACCGGAAATTCCATCCGTCGCCACCATAGCCGGCTCCGCCTCTATCGCCGCCTTGACTGGCCATACCTTCTACGATCAGCTCCTGGAGGCTTGATGAGATCCCAAGACAGGCAGATAACGAACCCTTTTGCTTGCGAGTGAAGCACTGACTTTAGCCAAGTCCTTGTTTTTTAATTCAGGGAGATTTACATATCTAACCTCTAAAATTTTAATATTATATAACTATCATTCATAAAATAAATATAAGTGCATGAAATAAAATATTAAAATTTTAAAATGATATGAATATTAAAAATAAAATATATGAGTGATATATTTAATATTAAAATTTTATATGAGAAATAGAAATATAATATTAAAATTTTAGATGTTAAATAAATACCATGAAATAAAATGTTATGTATGTAAATCACCTTTAATTTAAAAGGTGAGAATTTTTTTATTTAATGATCATTTATTACGATTACTCTTTTTAATTTGATTTTTTGTTGCATCTCATCATCAATTAGGACTTAGGAGTATTGTACCCATTTTTATTGACGAACTACTTACTTTATTGAAATAAGATGGTTTTATGGAACTATTTCAAAAAAGAAAAAAGAAAAAGAAAGGTCATTGAATATGTAGATGGGCTGATATATTTGCAATAATAAAATACTTTCAGTTGAAAGTATAAAAATATTTAACTATAAAATATCATAAAATTTTCAGCTGTTCTTCCAATACTTGAGTTCTAATCATTTGAACTCAAATCAAGAAACTTGTTATATCTTTAGATTCACCTCATTAAGATTTATTTTGAGACAACTTTCGTATTACTATTTTCTAATACAATTTTTTTTTTACTAAATAACTGCTTTATATATAAAAAAAAATTATCCAAAATAAAACTTTAAATATTTACTTCAACCACAAGTTTTTTTTTTTTTTGACAGCCCTCAAGTCAATATTGTAATTTTTTAATGCAAATACTTGTATCAAAATATATACTGGATATACCAATATTTATAAATACAAAAAAAAGAGCCTTAAAACTCGGTACAGCCAAAGAAAAATGAGCGTGGACAAATTTCAACAAAGGATAAGATCTATTATTACACTACACATTATAGTTGAATGTAATTAGAAATCAAGTTCGATTTTTAACAACAATATCTAACTTTTATTCGGTCCGGTGAACGTACGCTCCTTTATGTTCGGCCACCAATATTTTAGCGCCACGTAGCAGGAAGAAAAGTCGCCGACCCGACCCGCTGGTTTAATTTTTGGGTTCTCGCACGTTCGTTTTTTTAAATCCTTGACGAGCCGAACAACATCCCATCACCTTTTGGATATATTTCAAATACCTAGCAATACCTAGCAATACCGAGCAAATACTGACTTGTACCGAGTTTTTTCTAGCAATACCGAGCAAATACCTAGCAATACCGAGCAAATCCCTAACTCGGTACAACTCGGTATTTGCATGGTATTGGTCTTCACAGAGCGGTATTTCTCATTTTTGCAAAGCAATACCTAGCAAATACCAAGCAATACCGAGAAAATCGCGAATATAGCATTCCCGGGTTTCGCTCCGGGTCAAGTCGTCGGGCCGCGCGGCTTAGAGAAAGAGCACGCGGCGACATGTTATTGGCGGCCGAACGTAGCTCTACGTCCGGTCAGAGGACGTAATAATTGTTTTGTGCGGACGCCGAACGTAGTTCACCATCCAGAGACCAATCAAAATGCACCACATCAACGGTACTGAGCTCAGTACCGAGCCGGGTACCGAGTAGGAGGTGGCGTGACGCATTTTGATTGGTCTCCGAATCAATTCTGCATCCAGACAAAATAATTTCACGATTTGAAGACAACAGCACATCATGCAAATATTTATATATTATAAGATAAATAGAATCAATCTCAAAGGGCAAAACCGAAGAGAGGGATGTAAAAACTAACTTGAAATAAAGAAACAATAAAAATGATGGCATAAATGATCCACCAAATACCACATAACATTAAAATGCACTCCACCTCCTAAAGCTTCTACTAAGTGGTGAAGCAAAATCAGAAGGTAGCTACCAACCCCAAATGCATACCAGTGGGGGCTCAGCCATGGCAGCCAAGGATTAGTGGAAAAAGTTTCAAACTTTTTTTTTTGGAAACACTGCCTCTACTTTCCACTAATCATGGGCTGCCATGAGAGCACCAATTAGTATATCAGCACTTGTTAACTAAAAGGGAGAAAGCCTAATTGTGTGCTCGTCCTATCTTTACCCATAGTTCTATTGTTTTAAGACTCCTTTCTTTCTCCTAATGTTTACCTGGAAAAGCCTGAAGGTTCATTCATAGATACGCTTCCTCTTCAAAATGCTTGGAAATATTGCTACAGATCCAATCAAGAAGAGAACCACCAAGGTCTTGAAGTCATATAGATCTCCTAGGGATTTCAGGTCTCCGAGAGCAAGGCCAGCCTGTAGGTGGAAATTAAAATTTTTATACTAGAAAGCCAGTAAGAAAGCGGTCTCAAACGAAGCCTTAATGAAAAATATGCTTCAAGTGGTTTTAGGCTTTCATTTGGGACCGCTTTACGAGGCAATAAGAATGCTGTCCTAAACGAAGCCATAATTGGTTGGTGGAACTTACCCTAACGGTAATAAAAGAAGCGGGAATAAGGCCAATTAGAGTTGCGAAAAAGAATATGTGAAATGGTATGTCGACTATCGGAGACGCCAAGTTTATAAATGTGTTTGGTAAGGTTGGAGTTATCCTTAAAAACAGCATGTAATTGAGAAGCTTTTCCTTGCGTTTGGCAATCTGCATTGATATATATTTATATATATGAATGCCGCATTGATAAATAGTCATTAGAGTAATTGTGGGTGATTACCTCTGCCTGGAAAAATCTCAGCTTTTCCGGCCACAGCCAACTAGCTAAAGGCCTGCCAATAATTTTTGAGAGGAAGTAACAGGATGATGCACCAGCAGTTGCGGTAAAAACAACCAAAACAAGACCTTTGCCAACTCCAAAAAGAGCACCAGCTAGCAAAGACATGAAGATGGTTCCAGGAATCATAAATGTCTGCATGAAGATGTATACCGAACAATAGCCAAGCATGAAATTTACTTGGTAATCTGTTGCGTACACAGCAATATTATCTCTGCAAAAAGAGGAGAAAGTATTAAGGAAATGCAAACTACCATTCCAAAATCATAAATATGTTGACAAAAAATAAAAATAAAACAAAACTGTTCATCACAATTAATAAAAACTTGTTTAATTTCAGTGAACGATAATATAATAAATTCAAATATCACTCGTTAGATCATCAAGACATCTGCTGAAGAATTGTGGAAGAGGTTAACTTAGATTTGAACATGTACTGAACTATTTCCAATAAGAGACCAGAAAAGATAGACACGGAAATTAATGAAAACAAATTTACAGTAATGCCAACTGTTGCGTGTTGGTCCAGGTTTTAAGTTAGGTTGATCCGCATTGACATCTTATCCATATAAATCTCTATAAATAGAGTGTATAGGGTGATGTATAATTTGGAGAAAAATCTTAATAAAGCTTAAATTTTATTTCCTCCAAATTTCTGTGTATTCCCTCTCCTCCCTCTCCCTCACTCTCTCTTGCATGAAGAGCTCAAGAAGCCCTCAAGAATTCCTCCAAAATTTCTAGCACCAACGAATACATACAAGAATAAATAGACATGAAGTTCTCAAGAAGCTCTAAGAAGTAGGACATGAAATTCTCTTAAATTGTGTATTTTTTCAATTAATAAAAGTAAGAATTAATAGATTAACCAAAAAATTACATACACACAATTTATACATATATACACATATGCATACATATACATATACATCTATATATATACATATACAACCATATATTAGGAGCATTTCTCTTCAAACATCTTCCACCCTTCATCCAAATTTTTAAACAGATGAGAATTAAACGACTAAATGATATTTTTTTGTTACACATATAAACTACAAATTTTACAAGTCTAAAAAGCCACCATTCAAAAATACGAAGGAAGGTTGAAAAATGGATGACGAAAAAGCTCATATCCTTCTAAAGCTTAAATACAATGCGAACATCTACCGAATAAATTCTAGTTTTTATTCACCTTCAAGCTTAATCAGTGACTTGGGCGTTAGATGGTCTTCCCACATACAAAATCTATGGGCACAAGATTACTAACCTTTTATTTTGCTGATTTTGTCCAGAACAGACAGCCCACTAACCTAAATTCTACGGGCATTCAATAACATTTTCAACAGCAATAAAAAAGATAATGAAAAAATATATATTTTAAGGTTTGATGAGGTATGAAGAAGAGAATGCCATTTCCTGTAATGCATCTCACTACATATATAGCAGACATAATGACTGTCAAAACAATATTGTTAATTACAGGCATCCATACTCGAATTCCTTTAATGGTCAATAAAATGTAAGGAAATTCTACATCACACATTAAACCAAACGAAAAAAAAGCATGTCTTGCCCAGCAATATATTGTCCATATGTCCATCCATCCATCCATGATAGCCTTTTACCCGAGTACTCCAATTTATGATACTAGCCATCATCATCATCATAATAAATTTATGTGCTAACTATCCAAAATTGTCAAAGGATTCGTGACCTAATCGTTGCAAAAGATTGTTTCACCAAGGTCATGAATTTGAGTCACATATTCTAAGACTTATAGATCACCTTTCTAAAAAAAGGCATTCAAAATCAGCTTTAGTGATCACCGTTGCAGAGTTTCTCTCCTTCATTTGATTAAACACATTTTGATTTTAGATGTTTTGTTCTACCGATATGTTTTAAGTGCATGTGTCTTTTAATTAAAGTGAATTTTTACATGTCGATGTATAGATAGAAAATCATTAAAGTTCTAAGAGAAGTGCTTTGGAAAGTTCTTAAAAAGAAAGGAGTTAATAGCGCTTATATTCAAATAATTAAAGATATGTATGCAGGAGCTATTACTTGTGTTCAAACACAAGGTGGTTTGACCAAGTATTTTCCTATTTCAGTTGGATTCCATCATGGATCAGACTTAAGCTCATATCTTATTGTTTAGTCATGGATGTTCTCACTAGACATTTGCAAGAGGATGTACCTTGGTGTATGCTTTTTGTTGATGATATTCTTTTTGTTGATAAGACTAGAGAGGGAGTTGAAGGTAAACTTGAATTATGGAGGTCAACCTTAGAGTCTAAAGGTTTATGCTTAAGTAGATCTAAAGCTGAATATATGGAGTGTAATTTTAGTAATAATAGATCTAGTGAAGGGATTGTGACTTTGGGCGATCAAGTTATTAATAAGAGTACCCATTTTAGATATCTTGGATATATTGTTCAGAGTGATGGTAAAATAGATGGAGATATTATCAGCAGAATTCAAGTTGGATGATTGGAGTGGAGGAATGCATAGGGCTTGTTCTGTGATAGAAAAGTCCCCCACAAACTTAAGGGAAAATTCTATAAAATGTTGGTGAGACCTGCAATGCTTTATGGTGTCAAATGTTGGCCATTAAAAGAGAAGCATAATACTAAGTTAAGTGTTGCAAAGATGAGGATGCTCAGGTGGATGAGTGGCCTTACCGTTATAGATAGGATACAAAATGAGCATATACGTGAAAAGGTTGGAGTTGCTCCAGTGGAAAATAATATTAGAGAGAGTCGCCTTAGATGGTTTGGTCACATAAAAAGGCGGCCTTACGACGACCCAGTTAAGAGAGTAGCATTTAACTTAATGTACCATTGTATACTTTTTTCGTGATTCTTGCGCAGGTTTTATGGGAAATATTTTGATGTGCAAGACTATTGAATTTAATATAATGACATTAAAATACATGGTTGCGTGACTAGAATATTGATTGGAGTAAAGCATGCATCAAATCCTGGGAATAACATGATTTCTTTGATTGATCTTGGTCAAGCAAGATGGATGTCTCAAAGGATGTTCAAGTTCCTATCATTTGCAAATGCGCATTATTTGTCATGAAGATAAAAAAGGTTGGCAAACTCGCTTGGGATTTATAGGGAACAAGTGAGGTTACTTTGATTTCAAATCATCAACTTTAAATCGTTATGATGCCAAAAGCAAAAAAAAAAAAAGAAGTAAGCTTCATAGCTAGAGTTTCAAGTTTTTAAACAAAAGAAAGCACATACTAAGGGGAAGATCGATGGAAATCTAAAAATATGTCATAAAAAAACATAGAGAGTGATCTATATGAATTATATAACCGTATTTTGATCTAAAACTATCTATCACTAAATTTCATTTTTTTTCTATTAATTTATTATGTGTAAAACACACATATGATATTGATATTGGTTCTTATGTGAATAGAATGTGCTCTCGGGTACCCTAAAAAGTTTGTTTAAGTCCAACTCCTTATTGCATGCTTTCACCTCAACCCAATTCCAATATGCACATATGGAGTCTAGAAGTTTCACCTCATAAAGTATTTTTTTCCATTATCTAATTTTTGTTCTCCATCATATTTCGATGCTATTGCAACATTATAAACCCTACTTCATGTTTCTATTATTGTTTTAGGACCTCATTAACTACTTTTTTCATTATTTATCTCGCATTTATGCTTATTATTAAAACATTGTTGTTGTCTCAAAGGTTTCGGGCAACTAGCAGCTGCTTGTCTTGTCTTGAACATTACCTTTGAAGTACCGTCTTACTCTTTATAGCCTTGAACACGGGGTTTGGTTACCACTTATGTCTCTCTATCCCACTTACAGTTCTGCCTCTTACTCGCATTTTCACCCTTTTGGAACTCTATTTACAATAATTTGCTTCTTATTTTGCTAATGGAATTCATGGAAGAGATTGAAATTCCTGTTATATGTATTAAAACTTGTTATTTTGAGTTGGTTCTTACAGATTGTGTAAAAATTCTTATTTTGGATCCTTTTAAGGTACTGAATAAGTCCCTAAGAAGCGCATAAAATAAATGAACAGTGAATGCTAAAATGCAATTCCAATTTTCCTCACCTCATGTGTTTGAATGTCGGACATAAGTTCTTCATATATACTGATGGCTATTTCCAGTTAAAGACTTCTTATACCAGTGTGAGATTTGGTTCTGGAGTTTGGGTGATTTCTATCCTTATTTTTATCTAGTAAATTATTGAGTAATTGGTTTTGCGTAATGAGTCAAATTCTGTCAATTAAAATACCTGTTAGGTCTTGGTTATTTGTTATATTTTATTTTGGTTATTATTTTCCCTATGAAATTTCAGGTTTTCATGATCATTAAATCGTTTTTGGGAATGAACAAAATGTGTTTCCATACACAAAAAGTTATAAGTTAAAATAGAAACAAAACTCTTGCGTAAAAATTAAATGAAAATAGAAACAAAACTCATCATTAAGTTCTCTTTTCAGTACTTTGATTTAAGGTCCTAACATTTTAAAACAAACTGAATCCTTTCTACCATTATTAAAAGCTTGCCAAGCTAATGTTAAGCTCCAGCACCACCATTGCTCATGCTACAGAGTATGTTGCAATGCCAAGTCATTTTCCGTAGCGATTAGAACAGGGAGACAACCACTTCAAGGTAAAAGGATTCAATGATAAGTGCGCTTTTTGGTATAAGTTGAATCACCAACATGTGCAAAGAATATGCTCCACAGGTATCTCCCATGTTTTAAGCCCATCCATCATTTGGGTTGTCTTGTTGCATGGCAATTATGCTTATAGATTTTTGGGGTTTTTGGAGTTTAAATAGCTTCCAATGAGGACAACCAAGCACTATCTGGAATATATTGTGACAATATTAAGTCAAACATCCATCGATATTTTTTCTAAGTTTTGGTCCTCTAATTAATTCTAATGAAGGAAATGAATTGAATTGTAGGCTCCACTGATTTCATTAGTTTTCTAATAATTTAGTTTATTTGAGATGGTGAAGACAGAGGTAGTGGAGCTTACATTATAACTAAAAGAGAGTATCTTCTCCTTCTATGCATAGTACTGAGCATTTTATTACTACTGAAGGGGGGAAATAAGCAACTAAGTGAATCAATAAGCTCTTAATTAAGCTACAATTTTATATGTAGATCTCATGCATAATAATGCATGTAGTTCAATCTTTGCTTACCATCTAGTGAAGGGATCATCATATTGGTTTTATTTAGATCTTTATGTTTAATACCCATTTGAGTCATCCTTCTATTTTACAAGATATTATAAGTTTTCTTATTTATTTAACTTGAGATGTTTGTAGCTTCTCTTTTTGATGAGATTAGGTGTATTTGTACTTGGGAAGAATGTGGTTCTTATGTGCCTCAAAGATTTATACACGTGTAAGTTCTAGTGGATCGGCTCAATAAGTCTGGTATATGACTTTACTGTTATTACTTCAATCAATCAACAATGAGTCTGGCTTGACAATCCAAACCATTTTCTCTTCAGAAAAATAAAGCCTCCCTCTCCCCCTCCCAGAAAAGCCCAATTATTGATGCAATAGTCTAAACACAGCGACAAATTTATGCAAACCATAAAAGTAGCGCCTCAAAAAGATCTATAGGTCTGTCTACCACAGAAACCTAAATATATAATTAAAGCAAAGATAATACGCGAGCCTCAGAGTCAATAACTGGTGAAATCCTGTAGTCTTTAATCCAGCTAAGAGTTACAATATAGCTCAACACTAGTAGAGTTATATATAGACGTAACGCCAAAAAAAAAAAAAAAGCTCTTAGAGACAATTAAGATGTAAGTCATCTTCAACGCTTCAAACTTCATAAGTTCTGGATTGGGCCTACTATCACACGCTCCTGCTCCAGAGACGAAACTTTACGGTTCATAGTAACAGCATACCCCCAGCTGCGCAAGGATTTCGTACTCAACGCAACAGCCCACAGTTCATAATACTCAGTTTGGCCCTACGGCTATAAGCCTAATGTCTCTCCGTTCCTTTCTCCCCATCAAGCAACTCTACTTCTCCCAACAATAAAAAAACCGGTTGCCCTCATGCCCATATGTGCTTCAAAACCATATAAAAATTCATAAAAAACACAGCCGATGAAAATCTCACTTGAGAAGCCGGAGATCGGAAAGACTCCGCGGCAGACGGAGAATCTTCTCGTACTCTTCCCTGGGCATTGTGCTGAATATAGAAAGGATGCCGACGACGAACGTGACAAAAACAGCGATTGCGGCAGCCAGTTCACACCGCGATAGTGGAAACCTAGAATCCGACCTCGCCTTCTTGCTCGTCGGCGAGTCCTCGCCTCCGGAGGCGGCGCTCTCCTCATCACGTACCCTCGGAAGCGCCATTACCAAGAAGAATGCAGAGAGGGTGGTGAACGCAGAGGAGGCCAGAGCGATCGCTCAAATTTTCATCTGCATCGACACAGCAATCATCGAAAATCTCGCGAAAGTTTCCAATTACGCCACTCGATTCCGCAAAATAGAGCCGATTGCTGAGAGAAGCCGAACGGCACCGACGGGGCAAGAGTTGAAAGCAAATCCACCGATCTGGACCCGTTTTCCCGAGGATGAAGAAGAAAGAGAAGACACGACAAGGGTTTATCAACTCGCCGGTGGGTAAATGGTACGGCGTCAAAGGTATACGCAGACTTTTATTCCAAAGCGAGGAAGAAGAGGTGGTGGGTTCATTAAAATGTCCATGCGTTGGTGATGATCAATTTTGCGGATGTGTGCTTGTACCTATGCGAATGTACAGATCCACCGTTGATTTATATCAAAGGATATCTTGGCCGTTTGTCTGTTTGTTTCTTGGGTGACCGCATGGGGATTTTAAAGCGGGGAATCGTATGCGAAGCTTCTCGATCCGGTTGGAGCGCCTTGCAGCTCACTTGTTGCTTCCGAGGCTCAGATGAGTTAATGAAATGCGTGCGTTTTGGGTTGGGATACGTAGAACCGATTTGACTGAGTACGCTTCAAAACGAAATTGATATTTTTTAATTAAAATCAAATTAAATTTGACTATTAATGTGGTCAATTTTAAATTGCCTTCAATTCAATTATTAGCTTTAAAAAATTATTTAAAGAAATTCATTTATATATATATATCACAAATACAAGTTTCAGTATTCAAATAAATGAAAAAATTTCAAAAATATTATAAAAGTACATTTTAATAAGTGATAAATTCATTAAAAAATTAGAAAATGACACAACGAGACTTAAGCACCACATAAGTAATTAAGATTTGTGACACTTCTCGTTAGAAGAACATTAGGTGATTAGGTCATTGCAATTATCAATTTATTATTTTTTAATTATTGTAATATTGTATTGGAGTTCTTCATACCATTGCAATTCAAGATCACCTTTTATTTTATATTAAAATCATTCAATTTCTTTGTTTCCCTCCTCTCATTACCTCCAGAACATGCTCTCTTTTTTTAACGCTCTTTTTAACTCTTCACTCTCAATCTTGAGTCCCTCTAACTCTCTTGGTCTCATTCAAACTTTTTTTTTTATATAACATAGCAAATCAAAATGAACTTCTAGTAGTCGCATGTAACATACTTGTGCTTGTACTTTGATTTGTTAGGGGCGTATATGAGATTGTGATAGTGTATTTTCACTCTTAAAATTCTCACTATTGTATATTTAAGATAGATTAATTTTCTAATTCATTTCATGCGTTTTAAATGCATTTTTTTTTACTTCTTAATGATTAAAGCAATTGAAAGTTTTCTAAGATGTCGGAATAATTGTTGCAGTAGAGTGAGAAAGTTTAATGCCAAACTTTTCTAAGAAGATCTAACACACATATAGAGAAAAAAAAAAGATAAAAATTATAAAAAAAAAACTCCGAGTCTTTATATGAAAAACTTGAAAAAAAACTAAATAATGAGCTCTAGCCAGATTGAATAAAGTCTAATAGTGTCTATTGTCACTTACAAATGATGCATTTTCCTATAATTGGAAATGGTATTAATAAAATATAGTAGACATATAATATATAGAACTTATTTTATGATAGAAGTTGAAAGAATCCTATGGCATAAGAGTTATCTTTAAGTGATCATTTGTTGTTTATTTTGATCATTCTCCCTTGATGAGAGGAGTTCATAGACCAAAAAGCACACCATAAATCTTAGTGTTGATGTCAAGAATTACAGTTTGACATGTTGCATTAGTCATATTGTGGTTGGCATGCATTAATGTTATTGGCGACAGCATGTGTCAAAGTCAACGAGCCTTAGTGTAGCCAGACGATAATGGTCAGAGGATGATAATCAGATAATGATGGTTCTAGAACTGTAGTCAAGCAATAGTGGATTGAGGACTATAATTATTCTACATAAATCGAATGTTTGTCGTCAAGTGATAGCAATTGGAGAACCATAGTCGAACCACTACTATAGTCTAAGGACTATAGTCCAACAGTGGTGTTTGGGAAATCATATTTAAGCGGTGATGATTGATAGATTATAGTTAGTCAACAGTGGTACAAGTATCATAATCATGTTAGGTAGATAAGTTTTGAAAAACTCTTACATTTTAATCAAATCTCTTATCTCTAGTAATAAATTATATTAAGGTCAAGATCTCATATTTGAAAACACTTGCATTTTGTCAAAATTATTATACGTTAGAAATATCATTTAATTTTTAATAAGACATTTATATTTAATAAAATCTTATTTACTAATACAAAGCCTTATTTTGACAAAAAGGTTTAGAAGAATAATGAAGAGTCATTTGCACACCTTTTCATGAAATTAAGAGCCTATCTAGTTGCAAGTATTATAAGTGTAAAATAAAAGAATTGCATGAGTTTTAAATTGTTTATAATTTTTTTTAAGTAAATCAAATTCAAAGTGTTTATATAGGAAATTTATAATACTACAAAATATATGTTTTTAACAAAGTTGAAATTCTTTAAAATCAATCAAATTTTAAATATAGGAAAAAATCATACTGATGAAGCGTATCAAGTAAATCAAGATAGTTAATTTAAAACCCCAATTATAAGAGCTAAGGTTCATGGCCAGGCAAAAGATAAAAAAAGTCTCAATTGTGATAGGCTAATTAATATCTTATAATTTAGAGTATTTTAAATATATTTTAGATATAATTATTTCAACATTTTATTTTTCATTTGAGAACTTGTATAACCAACTATGACATAATTTGGAATAGATGATAAAATAAAACTAGGTTGTTAGAACTCCTCATTCATAAATGAGCACTAACCACCATTTTCCCTCCCATTTTCATCCATTTGATTCCTTAAAAATGGTTACCCAAAAGTTTTGTAATGCTTATAAATATGGATTGAAATAATTATAAATTTTTAATGGTAAATGAAGTATTTTGATTGAAAAATGCTCTTTATTTACTTAGTACTTAGGGGCTACAAGTAATTTGTCTATCTTTGATGAGTTAGGTAGTTAATTTTATATACATATTTAAGTTATTTGTTGCTCCACTTAAGTAGATGCTCCAAACACTTCAAACCTCTTCATCCACTTCATAAACATACTCTAAGACTAACATATCAAGTGATCAACAATCAAAATCTTGCATCTTCCCCAATGCCTTCTCTTAGACAAACTAGATAGAGTTAAGAGATAGTCTTGTTTCTTACACCTCAATGTCCCCACAAACCATCAAACTCTATCATCAACTCTAGAACATAATATCACATTTAAGCTAACCTTTACCATCATTTTCAACCATTTATCTCAAAAAACATTTCTCTCTAAAGTGAAATTGCAAAGTAGCTCAAAGTAACCTAAATTGGACTATTTTTAGCATTCTCACTAGAATACCCCGTTAAACCTCTCATCATTCAACCATAAACTCTCAAATATATCTTTGAGCATTAAATTAAAGATTCATAGACTTTTATAACTACTATTCTCATGAAAAGGCTACTCACCAACATCACATAGTCCAATACCTCATAGTTTCCACTTGTAGCCACCGTCATTGGCCAAAATCAGTCATCACAACCTTGATGCTACTACCTATCATTATTGACCACTACTTACCACAGCATGTCATTTCTCATCGCCACCACCAGCTGCTCACCCATCACCGCCTATCTCTACCTCCTATTATTGTCAATCATGAACTGCCAACTCATCGACCACTCTCTATATCACATGTTATATGTTGCCCATCGTTGCTACCATCACCAATCACTACAAACTACCATCACTAGCCACTTCCCACTACCATTCATTCTATTGTAATGTATTTGAAATGTATAATAACACACAAAAAAGTTTTTCATATATATTTGATTTGCAACAACCAAGTTAATCATGTAATTCTAAAATGCATGTATTTTAAACGAAACCAACCAAACAAACATTAGGTGACTTAAATTTACATATATTTATGTAAGGTGTTGATCCAATTTTAGTTAAGTTATTCCTGTTGGTTACCACAACAATATAAATCTCTATAAATATAGGTCATATGTGATGTATTAGATTGGGAAAATTTGAATAAAGCTTTAGGATAGATTTTCCTCCTCCAAATTCTACTCTCTTACCTCTTCGCCCTCTCTCTCTCTTGCAAGATGATAAAAAAGAGCTTAATAAGCTCTCAAGAACTCCTCCTAAATTTCCTAACAAATGGTATCAGAGCCTCATTGAGGCGATCTCAAGGTGGGGGAAGGTTATTGTCCAAGAAAGAGGGGAGGCAGCTACTGCTGGTGCTGTTGAAAGAGGTGTCATGCGAGTTTGGAAGAGAAAATAGGGTTCGGTCGTGGCAAGCATGCGATACAGGTGATCGGACGGAGGTGTCATGAGTTGGGAAGATGGAGGCTTTGCAAGATTTGCTTGGGATAGAATAAGAGCAGAGACAGAGCGGAACCGGGTCGCACGGGTCGCAGGATCGTGGTTGGGCCATTCGTGACGCACACTGGGATTGAGCAGAATATTGCACGAGCGATCACCTAAGAGAGAACGCTAGCAAGGAGAACGAAAGCTGCTAGGGCTAGCTAGCAATGGGCTTGTATTGATGGGGTATGGAGCGTAATTGTATATAGGAAGCCTGATGGGAGCAGGGTATGCTAGATGGGTAGGCCAGCCAGAGCGCAACATCGCGTAGGTATCGTGCAAGGAGATAAGTTGCGCGAGCTACATCCTTGCGCAAAGTTGGGTTCTAAGGTGCCACAGGCAATGCAGGTGAGTGGACACCGGAGGAAGGCTGTGTAGGTGGAGGTCAAGCGGGGTGCAGTGCAGGAGGTGTTTGCAGGGCTTGAGGGGCAGCTCGAACGTGTGGTGCTAGGGGCGAGGATAGCCACGAGGTACGAGAGTTCGAGCCGGAATCTCAAGAGGCTGTAGGGAGGCGGGTTGTCCAAGTGTGAGAGGCGGACCGCGCGCCGTAGATTCAAGATCCTTTTTCTTGATTAAAGATCGATCTAGATCTTTGAGGTGTAGTCAGGTTGCTCTTGGAGAGCAACACCAGGTCGGATTTGCTAGATTGGATGGCTAAGTCTCGGTATGCCGAGGAGAATTGTTGCAAGATGAATTTTTTTTAAAGTAAATTTGGACCAATGTTGAGATTGTTGTGATTGGTCTAATTTTATGTTATGTTGTCTCTTAGGTGCATTTTATCTTCCTAGTGTTATAAATAGCTTGTGTAGGGTGTTGTAAATAGAGCCCCTTCTAATAAGCCATTAAGGAGAAGGAATAAAAGAATTTAGGAATTTATGTAGTTTCCCTCTCTCTCTATCCTCATCTCTTCCAAGAACCTGAATAAAACTTTTT